TTATTATTAAGTTATCCATAATTTAATATAGAGCTATCATTGATTAAATATAGGATAGATTATGATCTATTATGATATATAAATTGAATTGATGAAATAAAAAAAAACACAAAAAAATCTCTCTTTTTCTATCTCTACGTATTTTTTTGTTGTACTACATCTATAATTTATACATCTCCATTTATACATGAAAAATATTAAAAAAAATGTAAAAAAACCATTTTATTTACCTAATAAAAAACAAACTTGAATTTTTTTCTATTAATTGGTAATTGGTCAAGCTTGAAGAGAGAGTATGCCCAATTTTCATTTCAATCAAATTCAAATGAGACTTGTAGTTAATCTGTTAAATGATACATAATTTAAAAAAAAAAGAATATTTTTTTCCATTAGTAACTCGGTGATATCATTTGATTACTTCTAACTTCAAAATTTGAATATTTTTGAAATATTTGAGAAAGATTAAAAGATTAAGAATAGTGTCTAAATTATCACTAATTTACAATAAAATTATTAATAATTTGCTACTATATTACTCTCTCCATCTTTATTTATTTGTCTTGTATTGACTTTTATGGAGTTAAAATAAAAGTTTTGACTTTAATGTATTTAATATTAAAATTAAAATTTTTTTATAAAATTAAAGTTTTATGATTTTTAATGTTAAAAAGTAAAAAAATCATAAAAATAATTTAAAATATAAAAAAGTAAGAGTTTTAGATGTTTAAAACAAAAAATAAACAAAATTTTAGGACAACCCAAAAAAAAAAGTTGGACAAAAAAATAAGATAGAGGGAATATTATACATTTACTACTATGTTATAATTTATTTACCACTAAATCCTTTATAATTAATTTAATTGAATAAAACATATTAATAGGTAAGATGTGTTATAAACACTAAAATATTCATATATAGAAAAACTATTTTAAATCTTCCAACCGTATTGTTTATGTTAAGTAGGGCATGAATGACTTAACTAAGATATTTTAATAAAAAAATAAATAAAAGGTAGACAATATTTTAATTTGCTAAAAAATATTAAATAAAAATAAGTAGAGATAATTTAATAAATTATCACATTTTATATATAATATAGATATATATATATATATATATATTAAACATCTTCTTGATTATAAAATTTTCTATTTAAAGTAGGTTATAAAATCTAAAATATGCAAATGTTTGTCAATATTCTAAATTTTTAGCTAAAATTTAAATAACTACGTATAATAAAGTTGGCTAAATTCCAAATGGAGCACCTTTTACACATTAATTAAAAAAAAAATCAGAGTTCACGTTATCATCTATAATCTAATGCTTTGTTTTTTCATTTTCGTATATATTATGATATATTGACCTAGTGAGTAATAAAAAGACTAATTTAGTAATCTTAGGATCTATATAAAATATTAATTGATTCATTTATCTTATTATATATATAATTTAATTTTATTAATTGAGTTAATTTTTTATCTTAATTATAAGATTATATAAATAAATATATTTAATTTCGCATCATCATACTTCAATTTTTTTATCATGCGATTAATGAGTTCAATTATAAGTCTTCCTTTCTTTATGAATTGAAGAATTAGTTGAATTGAAGAATTAGTTAAACATGCATGATTGACATGTAATGTATTTTAATAGTAGTCTACCCAATTAAAAAAATCACTTTTAATATTGTTTGGAGTTTGCTTTTTTTATGTATATATCATAGATGATATATGTATTTATATATAATAAACACACTCATAAAAGTACAAATAATTATTAAATGGATACTTTCATGATTAGAATATAAATCAATAATCATATACTTTAAGTATATAAACAAATAAAATGAAATGAACTATAACATTATTGTTTTAAAGAATATAATAATTGATTAGAGAACTAACAAAGCTTTGATCATTCAACAAAATGCGTACAATTAATCAATATTTTTTACTATCAAAACATAAAAATATGTTAGAGTGTTCTTAATTGAAAAAAATAAATTTATATTTTTCCAGGAAAAATCATAAAATATATTCATAATATAAATTTTAAATTTCATAAATGAAGTTAGCAGCGTGACAATACCTTTTAGGCTTTAAAGTATATTAAAAAAATTAATTAAAAAAATGAGTGATGTGTTAATTTCTTAACTCACTTGAGAAGATAAAAAAAATTCAACAACAAAATATCAAATAATCTCTTTTCTTCAAGATTAATGTTTCTTAGCAATATTGACTTTGGTTTCATAAAAATATCTTAAGTACTAAATATTTGACATTAATTATAAAAAAATAAGGATAGACCGAAATTAACTTGAGTGTAGTATAGAATCAATTTGTAGAAAATAAAATAAAAACTAAGTTTAGTAACAATTCAAGGGTACATGAGATTATGTTCATAAAATAAATATTCATTTAAGTATTATAATGTTAAGGCGTGATTGCATAAAGTAATTAGAAATATTATAATCAATCATTGCAATCATTAAACATAAAAATTTATATTTATCATAAAAATAAAAATAATCAAACATATAAATTTACCATAATACACGTATTACTCTTTTTGAATAATTTTTTTATAATTTAATTTATAATTTTGTATGAACTATAATTTCAATTAATCTAAAATAAATAAACAAAAAATACAAATATATTTAAGGACTCATGATATGTGTCATTAAAGAAGATTAAGAGTAAATTAGATTATATCTTGAAAATGAAAAATTATATGCTTTACTTAAGATAAAGTTAAATGTTTTGGGGTATACATATTATGATCTAATAATTTAGACTAAAACAATTAGTAATTGAGAAAAAAGAAAAAATTTTATCTATGTTTTGTTCAATATCATGGATTTATAGTATGCCACAGCCCATAGGATGATAATGTGTTTTATATTAATTTGATTGAATTATTACTTATAAAATTTAACAAAAGAATTTTAAACATAAAGATAAGAGTGAATTTGAGTTAATTTTGGACAATAGGCCCATCATATCCCACAAATAAATTTTTAATGTAGTTTAATTTGATATAAATTTTATTTGTAAATTTTTAATTGATTTAAATTTAAATAACTAACAAATACAAGCTATATTTTTAATGACAAATAATTTTTATTAAATAAATAAAAAATGCTAGAAATTCAAATATAAATTTGTTATTTTTTAAAATTTATAAAGATATTTATGTTATTCATTTTTAACACTTTTAGATTTAAATTTAAATAACTAACTAATAAAAGCTATATATTTAATGATAAATACTCATTATTAAATAATTAAAAAATGCTAAAAATTTAAAAATAAATTTGTTATTTCTTAAAATTTATAAGGGTATTTATGTTGTTCACTATTAATACTTTTAGGGTTCACACTTTTATATATAGATGATATATGTATTATGCTTAGACATGGCATATATTCGACAAATATCATGTGATGGATCGACATCAGAAAGGTAGACTGGTTCATACTTCCAAAGATACTCCTGATCTTGATTGAGGTGGACTCACCCCGCAACCCCAACAATTGACAAACATTAATTCCCCCAACCTGTTTTTCCTATTGATCATAAATTGCATCTATATTAATCTCGTACGTTACTTCCATGTATTATTCTTCTCTGCAAAAACATATAATTACATATGCATATCCACATAATTATTCATATTATTCATGCAGCTTAACATGCATGTGATGGGAACGAAGCAGGCAACCTTTAATTCCTTACATCCATCATCCATTTTTTGGGGATATTATCATTATCATGATCATATGGTTCTCGGTTTTTGGGCATTAATAACTAGGTACCCATCCACATGTTCATTTAATTTTCTCGTTAACCCTCCTATATATAATAATATGTAAGACATTTTTTAATTATCCATAAAATTGTAGCAAAAATAAGTTAGCAATGACATATCCAAAATTTTTAGGACTGTCCATTTATAATATATATAAAAAATTATAAACAAAATATTTAAATAATATATCGTCATATTATTACAATTGTTTAGGAAAAAAAATCTTGAAAATGTCTAGAGAAAAATTTTGAAAATGTCCAACAAAAAATTAACCTTTAAATTATCATATTTTCTAATTTTAAAAGTGTCTACGGATACCCCCACTTTAATATATCCATCCCTGTAAATGAGAAATAAGTAAAAATTAAAGTTATGAAACTAAAAGTTGGTGAATAAATGATCCAGCATATGGTTCAATGACAGATGTATTTATATTTTCGTATTCCAAGGAGTTGGGTTTCTTTTGTTTTTTTTTTTTTTAAATAAAAAAAGTTGATAAACAGCCATAGCATTTGCATATGGTAACAATAGGAAGTGCTAGAAGAAAAGGTAAAGCCACCACTTCCTCCTTTCAATATGGCTTCCTCCAACCAATTAGTGGGATATATAAAGGAAATTTGTTTGATATTGACAATTAGGGAGTGTTGAATAATTCATGGAGAAGTGCATTCATGCTATCCAAGGCAATATGGAAATTACAAACCAGCAATAAATTATATGTGGATATGAGAAAGCATCAAATAAAAAAAAAAAAATTTAAGAGTTTAACGTGATATATAAAATGATTCTTAAGAGGTAACATTCAAGGTTTGGGATTCAAATTCCAATACCTATAACTTTTTTCTTTATCTACAAATTACAGCCTTTTATATATCCAAAAAGGAAATAGATTAAGGAGGAAAAGAAGAATAGGTCTAAAGTAGGTATGGATTGTATTACTAAATTTTAGAGCCAAACGAGTAATACAATAAAAACTTAACTGTCTCGTTTCATTTAAAAACAAAATTACACCTTTCCAGCATCAAATTATCCATATTTTCTTAAAATTATATAATGTCCATTACCTGAGCCAAATTCATGTGGGAATGTAACAGTAAAGTTACCTTATAATTAAGTAGCTCAAAGAAGGAACAAAAATATATAGTGTATGAATTACTATATAAAATTGGAAATGTCTCTTTAACTTCAAGGTTTTGAAAGAAGTCCAAACCCAGAAAGATCAAAGGAACCCCAATTTTCGGTCATTAAGTTTGCAGGAATCTTTAGCTGATCATCCACTGGAAAGTACTCAAACTGTTGCAGTTGCACCATTGGTTGCCATTCAAAGTTTGGGGTAGTTGCAGCATCATCAGACCACAAAGTATCCTGCATCATTTCATCTTCTAACAAATTTGGTAACCCAAACGCATTCATGTCTTCAGTTTCCAGCAATTCCTGAACACTATTATTCCCTTGTAGCTGTTGCTTAACTTGAGGCATTTCCTGAAGCGTAAAAGATTCTGGAATTGAATGGACTTCTGGTCTCTGGCTCTTCATCGATGAATCATTCTGGCTGTTGGCGTCGTGTTCTAAAGAACTCCATAAACCAATCCCTTCATTTGCTTCATAAGGCGGTTCTTCTATAGCAATCTCAGGCTGATCAAAACTTGTACTCTGGTTCAAGAATTTAGCAAAAACAACAGCTAGATCAATATCTGACCCTCTAGTAGGCCCTGACTGATTCCCTGAGTCCCCATCAGAACTACTGACTCCAATCATCTCCTGGTGACTGCCAGAACTACTCAAATTCTTATTATAATTCATAGAAAATTGACCGCTTTTCTCGACCCTGCTAGACTTGCCTCTTCGACTCTTGCGGCAGCCACCACCAGCAGGCACATTCCTAAGGGAACCACCTTTAGTCCAATACCTTCTGCAACCTTTGCAAAAGTATCTAGGCTGTGACAAGCTATAGTTGTTGTAGTAACAGAATTTAGTGCTGGCTGACGCACAACGAGGACACTTCGGAGCAAGTTCAACGTTGGGTTTCCACTTTCTTTCAATAGGCAGTATTGGCCTAGGGCCGCACTGCAACATCTGGTCACTAGCCGCGAACATTTTGGTGCTAGCAGAAATACCAAAGATTAATAGCTTTATAATAATATTTGTTTGGAGAAGGAAAGGAATTTTGGGAGAGAGATCTAGTTTAGTGGAGATGGCATGTGGAAGGAAGTTTGTAAGATTTCTAAGGTGTATATGTAAGGCGTTGATGGTGCAAAAACGTGGGCAGTTACCGAGTCGTCAGGACCAAGAAATGGAGGAGCTTGGGAGTTGGAAATGCGCATTGGCGTGTTGTTTCTAGTGCTGTACATGAAGGATTGTGATGGGGTGATTTTTTTTTTTTTTTTGTTCCAGGCTACTCTATTTGGTTTAATTACTATTCGCTAAGGTGGATGGATCGTGTGTGGCTCTCTATATTCAATATCTGCCATTTCTACATTGCCCCACATCTAGACAGTGATTGAAGTGTTGCTAAGTCAAGGCAATCCTAGTTGTACTGGTATTTTCTATTTATAATTTTTCTCTTAATTCATTTTTTTCAAAATATATAACATATTGAGCTAGTCAAACAATTGGGCGATAATAAATTAATTAGCTTGATGATGGGTGTTGATTTTGGAAAATCATTTGTGATTATATTTCTTAATTTTAGAGAGTACATAAGTCACAGGTTTTGACTTCTGACTTAGAATTCTTGCGGCCTTAGACTAGGGATGTGTTTCTTAGGTCTAAGTCAACCTAAAAACCAAGTGTGCGGGCAAACAAACAACTGGAAAGGCAAAATGCACAAGTTAGAGAAAAATAGAGAATGCTGGAATATACGGTCTGTATTATTGAAAAAGAATGTGATTGATGTACAAATGATGGTGGGGTGACCCTCTATTTATAGTTGAGGCCCCCAGCTCTACTTATTGCTAGCTCTTAAAATAAAGGGATTATAATATCTACTAAAAATTAGGGATTACATAGATTACCCATTAATACAGAAGGATCCCCCTGATTTTCAAGGTCAACCAGATCCTCTTGAAGGCTCCTATTGATCCTGTCTGCTCCTGAAAGATTCTAGATCGGTCCTACTCCCCTGGGCCCTCCTAGGTGTGATGCGGCAATTTTACAGGCCTGGCCTTGGCTGTGCGGGCAGGCTTACATGGTGTGCGGGCGGTTTGGACTCCTCTTGAAAGCCTAATGTGCAAACCCCTACCAATGTCCCTGGTGCTCGAGCCTTAACCCCTGGAGCTCGAGCCTGTGCACTTGGTGTGCCCGCCCAGGGCATGACATTCTCCCTCACCCGATTGAGCGATGCCCTCGTCGCGTCCTCTGTGTGGAACTACCTGATCTGGTCCTAAAACCGCCTTAAGTCTTTCGTTGGCTCTTAGCTCACCTCATTGTCTGGAAGTTCCTTCTAGTGCACCAAGTACTCCTGCCTTGACTAGTAGCTCTTCTGTCTCACCTCTCGATCAACAAGAATACCGTGGACCTCCCTCTCATATAAGGCTTTTGCTCCTAATGGAACATGTTTCGATTCTGCCTGTCTTGGATCTCCCTTATCCTTATAGAACGACTTAAACATGCTAACATGGAACACTGAGTGTACCCTCAACTTGGGTGGCATATCCAGCTTGTAAACAACCTTGCCTACCCTTTTAAAAACTCTGAAAAGTCCCTTATACCTTTGGACTAGGCCTTTGTGCAACCCTTTATGGTGCACAATGGGATGCAGCTTCACCAACACCAAGTCTCATACTTGGAACTGCACGTCCCTCATGTTCTGGTCTACTCACTTTTTTGATTTTTTTGCTGCTTTGTGTAGATAGAGTCTAGCCAAGTTGGCTTGCTTTTGCCAAGCCTTGGCAGGCTTGTATGCTACTGGATTTGGCCCTATATAACCTATAACAATCAAATTAGGTGTTAGTGGTTGCTGACCTATCACAATCTCAAATGGACTCTGGTTTGTTGCTTTACTCCTCTGCAAGTTGTAGGAAAATTGAGCGACATCTAATAGCTTTGGCCAATCCCTTTGCATGACACTCATATAGTGCCTGAGGTAAACCTCTAATAGTCAATTCACATGCTCAGTCTAGCCATTGGTTTACGGATGTATGTTGGGGGGAAAGTTCAAGTCTGACCCTAATAGCTTGAACAACTCAATCCAGAATTGCCCTGTAAAATGCCCGTCCTAATCGCTAACAATGGTCCTTAGTACTCCCAGGTACTTTACTATGTTCTACAAGAACAATTGGGCTACCTCCATGGCTGAACACTTATTGGTTGTTGGAATGAAAATTTCATACTTGGAAAACCTGTCCATCATTACCATGATGCTTTCGAATCCCTTTGCCTTAGGTAGACTGACTATAAAGTCCAGAGTGATGCTCTTCTATGGTCACTCTGACATGGACAATGGCTGTAAGAGATTGCCTAGTTTCTTGAGCTCCAACTTGTCCTACTGGCACCTAAAACTAGTCTTTACATAGGCCTCCATATTGTCCCTCATGTGTGGCTAGTAGTACCAGTCCTCCAGCAGAACTAAGGTGCTGCTCACCCTGGGTGTCTAGCCCACCTCGAATCATGGCATTCTTGTAAAACTTCTTTGTGAAACTTTCTATGCTGTGGCACAAGCAACTTATTACCCTTGGTGTACAACAAGTTATCCTGTAGCCAAAATTGCCTAGTCTTATCTTGTTGGGTGTACTCGATGAAAGTCTTGGCTGTAGGATCATATGCGAGCCCTTTCTTGATAGACGACACCAAAGACCCCTCTGGTTGGCTAATGGAGGCAAGGTTCGTCTGTCTTGGCTTGTACTCTAACCTGAAATCAAATTTCGTAAGAAAGTCCTACCAATAGGCCTATTTAGAGGATAGCTTCTTTTGCAACTGAAAGTAGCTGGTTGCCACATTGTTCATTCTGACCATGAACCTCAACCCTAATAGGTAATGTCACAAAGTGCTCAAGTAGTGCACCACCATTGTCATCTCTTTTTCTTGGCTCATGTACCTGCACTTGGTCTCGTTGAGCTTTTTGGTTTTGAATGCAATCGAATGTTTCTCTTACATTAGCACTCTCTTTATCGTAAAGTCTGATGCATCTACATGCACCTCATATGGCTTGGCATGGTTTACAAAGCTAAAACTAGCTCTTTGATCATAGTCTGTTTCAATCAATCAAAGGCTTATTGGCATCTTGTGCTCCACTCTTATGCTTTTCCCTTTTTGAGCAAGTCAGTCAATAGTGTGGCTATGGCTGAGTGGCCCTTGATGAAGTGCTTATAATAGTTGACTAGCCTAAGGAATGACCTCAATTTAGTTACCTTAGCTGGTAGCTCCCATTTTATGATGGCATGCACTTTGCCTTCATCTATGCGTATCTTGCCACATCCAACTATATGGCCTAAAAATAAGGTCTCCTACTAGGCAAATGAGCACTTCTGTTTTATGACATACAGTTCATGCACTCGTAATACCTCAAAAACTTATCTCAAGTGGTCTACATGCTCTCTCAATGTTTGGCTATAGATTATAATATCATCAAGGTAAACCATAACAAAACAATTAAGGAACAAAATGTTGTTGAGGTATTGGTGAGTTCGAATGGCATGACCAAGAGCTCATATGAGCCATATCGGATGATACACGTTATTTTAGGCTCATTTCCCTATCCTGGTAATAACCTGACCTTAAATCCTATCCTGGTAATAACTTGACCTTAAATCTAGCTTGGTGAACCACTTTACATCTCTAAGTTGTTCGAAAAGTCTACAATGAGTGGGATAGGATACTTGTTCTTGATGGTTAGCTTGTTCAAAACCCGATAGTCAATACACAATTGCAAGGACTTATCATACTTGTATTGGAACAGAACCAGGGCACCATATGGCACCTTAGATGGCCTGAAGAAGCTAGCATTAATCAACTCTTTGAGCTACTTCATCAACTCTTCTAATTTTGGTATAGATATTTGGTAAGAGGTTCTAGCTGATGGCTTAGCCTTGGGCACCAACTCGATCTTATGGCCTACTTCTCTCTTAGATTACATAGATTACACATTAATACAAAAGGATTCTCTTAATTTTCAAGGTTAATCAGATCCTCTTAAAGGTTTTTGTTGATCTTGTCTACTTCTGAAAGATTTTGGATCGATCTTACTCTCTTGGGACCTTTTAGGTGTGGTGCGAGCATTTTATGGGCCTGGCCCTAGTTGTACGAGCAAGCCTACATGTTGTGCGGGCAATCTGGACTATTTTTGAAGGCTTAATGTGCAAACCCTTGCTAGTGTCCCTAGAGCTCGAGCCTTAACCCCCGATGCTCAAACTTATGTGCCTAGTACGCCTACCCAGAGTGTGACATTTTCCCTTACCTGATTGTGGGATGCCCTCGTCGTGTCCTTTGCGTGGAACTGCTTAATCTAGTCATGAAACTGCTATAAGTCTTTCATTGGCTCTTAGCTCACCTTACTATTTGAAAGTCCCTTTCAGTGCACTAAGTACTCTTATCCTTGCTATTAGTTCTTCTATCTTACCTCTCAGTTACCAAGAATGCTAGGGACCTTTTTCTCATATGAGGCCCTTGTTCCAAATGGTGTATGCTTCGACTCTACCCATCATGGACCTCCATTATCCTCATGAAATGGCTTAAGCATGCTAACATGGAACATTGGGTATACCTTCAGCTTGGGTGATATATCCAGCTTGTAAGTAACCTTACCTACCCTTTTAAGAACTCTGAAAAGTCCTTTATTCCTCTAGACTAGGCTTTTGTGCAACCCCTTATGGCACACAATGGGATGCAGCTTCACCAACATCAAGTCTCTTACTTAAAATTGCATGTCCCTCTTATTTTGGTCTGCCCACTTTTTTGACCTTTTCATGGCTTTGTGTAGATAAACTCTAGCCAAGTCGACTTGCTCTTGCCAAGCCTTGGCTAACTTGTATGTTGCTAGATTCGACCTTGTATAACCTATAGCAATTGAACTAGGTGTTAGCAGTTGCTGACCTATCACAATCTCAAATAGACTCTGGTTCATTACTTCACTCATATGCAAGTTATAAGAAAGCTGGGCAATATCTAACAGCTTTGGCCAATCTCTTTGCATGGCACTCATATAGTGCCTG